GAGCTACTAGTAGCTTCTTGCTCCTAGTAGTGATGCCCTTTGTTACTTACTAGTAGCTTCTTGTTACGAGTAGTAATGTCAGGAGCTACTAGTAGCTTCTTGCGCCTAGTAGTGATGCCCTTTGTTACTAGTAGTAGTCCAGGAGCTACTAGTAGCTTCTTGCTCCTAGTAGTGATGCCCTTTGTTACTAGTAGCGTCTTGTTACTAGTAGTAATGCCAGTAATGCCAGGAGCTACTAGTAGCGTCTTGCTCTTAGTAGTGATGCCCTTTGTGACGAGTAGTTTCTTGTTACTAGTAGTATTGCCAGGAGCTACTAGTACCTTCTTGCTCCTAGTAGCGATGCCCTTTGTTACGAGTAGCTTCCAGCTCCTAGTAGTGATGCCCTTTGTTAGTAGTAGCTTCTTGTTACTTGTAGTAATGCCAGGAGCTACTAGATGCTTCTTGCTCCTATAGTGATGCCCTTTGTTACTAGTAGCTTTTTGGTACTAGTAGTATTGCCAGGAGCTACTAGTAGCTTCTTGCTCCTAGTATTGATGCCCTTTATTACGACTAGCTTCTTGTTACTAGCAGTATTGCCAGGAGCTACTAGTAGCTTTTTGCTCCTATTAGTGATGCCCTTTGTTACGAGTAGCTTCTTGTTACTACTAGTTGGAAATGACGAACATCACTGAATCTTTTGGTTCACACTTTTTGTGAGGAGATGTTGGCAGTTTTGCTTTGGATCGTATACGCACACGATGATTGTTCGATGGTACTGGTACGAGATTGTGGGTGAATAGTTCATCATGTATGAATTTTATGCTGTAAGTAGCTGGCGTATCGATGCCCCCAGTCTTCATGGTTTTTAATTACTCTGTTTCCGCGATACTGTTCCCCTTCCAGGCATTGTCCAAAGTAGTCAAACAAAGTGTGCTAGAAGAGGATGAATGAGGATGAGGATGATGAATGATGTATATAATGTTTTTATCTTGGCTGCGCTTCACGCTTGCAATTGAAGATGGTTTGCAAGGTTAATGTTTCCCTTGGCCTTGGGCGCGCAGTACATGGGCCTCAATCACAGCCGAATCTCGCTGAATGTCCTGGCGCGGAGCTTTCCCTGGATTGGAATCCATGTGGACGTCCTTCGTACAGGCCAGCGAGCAGTTTGGCCACTCTTTCGATCTCACATGCTGCTGGCCAGGATAGTTGAAGCTTTGATACCATACGGTTTTCAAACAGGGAAATATGTTCTCTTTACCGTTACAAAAGGGTCTGATTTGGACCAGTGGTGCCCGCACCAAAGGTTGTTCTTGCTGGTCCAGTCCTTTGCATACCTTAGCTGCAACCTGGCCTGGAGATTCTTACTCTACCGGAAGTCATCGCCTGAGGGCTTTGAAGAGAACATTTTCAGCTTGTGTTCCTTGGTGGAGCTCTTCAATCTGATCTTTGTTCGGTCTGTGCACTCTGCTGGCTTTTATCCCAAAGTAGTGACAGCCTCCATCGTGCCTTGCCTGAGGTTTCCATTCGATGTGCCTTTTTTTAAGTTTTCCCAAGGCTGACAGGACATTGCAAATTAGCATACTCGTGCGGAGTATGTACCCAAAGAGATTTCAGCCAATATGGCATGAATATAAGATATATATATATATCTATATACATCATATGTGTTCAATCGTGTACAACTCAAACAATCTGGCGCTGCTTACCTCAGGGAACGTTGAGGGAATTTGTCCAAACTGGTGCGTTTCTTTATTGCTCGGCCAGGACCTGGTTGGGGAAGCACTTAATCCAAAGTTAACATGGCCCACAATCTAACAATGGCTGTACTGTTGCTAGGTGGCACGTTTTAGTGTCATTTAGGAAGATTGGGTTTGTCCCGTGGGCTAGTGTGCCTTGCTGGCCTTGCATGAATAAACCCGCCAGGTCTACTTGCACTTCTACATTTTTTTGCTCCCTGTACCCATTTCACAACTTGGCATTTGCTGCTTGCTGCTCACTGTGTGCCTACGCGATGGTCTACTGCTTGAACCATTTCGAGGACCACATTAAACTTGCAGTAATGTTTTTGAATTTTAGACACTCAAAAAAGCTTGCCAAAGGAGCATGCTTTGTGTATGTCATTCATGTCAATGTGCATGTCTTGCATGTCCCATGGAGTTTGTCGGATCCTGATACCGGTACAATGTAGTTGCTCTTGCGCTCCTCACTCAGAAGATGCGATGATTGCTTTTTCAGAGTAGCCTCAGTAGGAGCCTGCCATTCGGCAAGACCCTTTCAGCAGCAGCACACCAACAAATGCACATCCAAGAGCACTTTTCATGCCAATGCTTTCACCGTCATGGACCATGGAGGCCAGGGTTGAACGAAGGTGATATGAAACTCATTCTGGGTGAATGACTGATGTTTGACAGTACATGAGGACTCCACGACCCCCACTGATGCTTGAGGCTGCTCCACTCTGGACCATGTTCTACCCTGCGGAGCCTCCGTCAGCCTTTCCTGAGGATGCCGCTTGCTTAGACTTTGAAGGCGAAATGTGTTCGTGTGCTTTGCATCATGTGTACAGTTTGGATGTGCAACACTTGTGCTTTCATTTTCCTGAGGCTATGAGACACATTCAGAGCGAAGAGTACAACATGCCGTAAACGCACTCTGACTCTTGCTCTTTGGCTCCTGCACTGTGACTGTGTGACTTCAGGAGAGTCACACCAAAGACATACTCATGTTACTATTTATAATGGCTTCCTTTGTCCTAACGTGTAGTGCAGGTGGATTATGTGTAAGATGTTTATAGTATTTGCTAACAACGTGCTACTGGCAGTATGTTGGCTTCCACAGATTTCACAGCATTATTTGGCCAGAATGCCAGAACCCTGGGACACCAGACTCCTATACTGAGTTGCTTCGTTGGTGTTCCAAGGTCCCGGAGCACGTTGCAGCTTGCTAATGTGCGGGTAAAACACCTGTGCAATGCACCAGCCTGCATCAATCATTCAGACAAAGACAGGAGCAGTCATATAGCGGGACATTGTTCCGCATCTCAATTGAGATACAGTATACTGTATATATAGTTATACTATACACATATTCTTGCTGGGACTCTTGAATGAGATCCTATAAGCCATGCCTAGAGTACCCTAGAGTATGGCCAACAACAAATTAATTTGTAAGAGCGCCGGAGCGTCTTGTGCCACAGGGTGTGTCAACCGGTTGACGCTTCGTGGCAGATATGCTTGAGTTGCCTTTTTGCTTCGTAAACTCTCGCAGGTGGCTCCTGCAGGAGACAGCGTGCCCCTTCCTCAGATGAGGCGGGGTTAGTGGGGAGAGGGTCAGAGGGTGACTCAGGACTCAAGCTTTGATTCTTCCAAGTTTTGATGATACTGCAATATTCGCTTTGTTTATATCGGTAATTCTTACTTGTTGAGTCGAGTGCCAGGAAGCAGCAAAGGCTCAAAGCAAAGAGCTGAGACGAACCAAAGCTGCTAGTTCAATAGGGGACTTGACGTATTCAGGCAGCAAGCACACAGAGGTACAATCACAATGTTTCTGCAATGCTTTTTACAGTTTTATCAGGCCACTCTGCTTAGCACTGAGGCGCTCCTCCAGAAACGCCGCCGGGCCCTAAAAACGGGACGAGTAGCAACGAAAGAATGATCCTCCTCTAAGCTGTTGCCCACATGAACTGCTGCCCCCAGCAGGGTTTTATGAATTGCAGCTGGCGGACTCTAGGCTTCGTCAATCTAATAGCGATGGCCTCCAACCTAATAGCAATGGCCTCCAACCTAATAATTAGTGACCTAATAGTGTCTAACTGTAGGAACTCTTTCCTTGCGATTGTACGGTTTTCCGATCAATCTGTTCGCTTAGGCCTGTGGATCCTCGACGGCTCAGAGTCATACAGGAGACGGCTGAGGGTTCTTCAATTCATTTGTGAGGGACGTGATGGACGAGACTTTGGCCGTTTGTCCTTGAGAATGTTTGACTGCTTCATTGAGGCTTGCATTGTCTGGAGTTGAAGGAAATCTGTAGGTGTGTGGTCCTCTTGATCAGGCTCATGCACCTGACCTTGCCAGGACTACTCTGATGTCGTTTAGGGGTAGAGCCTCTGCCTGGACACCGCAAAACTAAGCAGATTCGTTCATTGTCCGGCATGATCTGGCCTGTGCACAAAAGATCCAGAACTAAATGCAGGCATGACATGGCATGCGCAAGTGGAGAAGCATCCATGTTCAGTGGAAAGTGCTTGGGTGTGGGAGAGCATGGCCTGAGAGTCGTCCTGACAATGTGTTTGTGTTTGCCTGTTGTGCAAATATTACACTGTAGACTGTAATATACTAGTATATATATATATATATATTTTTTTTAAATAGCTGTAGATACCAAAGCGCCAAAGCTGAGTGGCTCAAGACTAGCTACTGAGTAGGAGTTAGCCAGAACCAAGCTTCTGATGTGTTTTGATCGAATGGCACACTCCCTTCGGGGATGATCCGAGTTGAGGCCTTGAAGGTCACATACAAATGCCTTACATGGTTTTGACCGGACCGACAAACGCAACCAATTGCCATAGACATGTGGACCCCCAACTTACTGGACAAGCACCGGGGCTCCATTGCAAAGGCAAATCAGTACGACTAGCAAGTGCCGGGTGTGTCCCAGCGCATTTCACGTCCCTGTTTCCAGTGCGATGGAGCAAATGCGCCTTTTCAGGAATAGCTGCCTGAACAGCCAGGGATTCTGTAGCACCTGCTGACCCTGTTGGGATGTTCAAGCAAAGAGGACTGCGATTGTTCATCAAGAGCAAAAAAGAACCTACGATCATCGTAAGTCCCTCTAGTTTCATTTGGGTTGGTTTGCACTTATGTTGTATAGTAGCAGACCGTTTTTATCTTGCAGCTGAGGCTGCCTCGTGAACAGGAAGGTCTACCAAGAAGGGACCCAGCCTCTTGTTCATGGATTTAGCAACCGCCAGATGGAATGCTGAAGTGCAGAGACTCAAGAGGAAACACAACTTGCAGATGTGTTCATTGCAAGCGGCAATCGGCTTGGCTTGCAAATTTATGTTATTCAATGTTATTCAATAAAGTTCAATTCAAGCCACAAGCAATGCTTTTAATAATGTCTAAGTCTAAGCATTTATATAACCAAGTAAATTCAGGGTAGCCTAGAAATGGTTGACCATGGGCGCAGAATACGGACGCAGGTTGGTGTGCGTTTGAATGGAAAGTCGGCGTCGGAGAGGTGCGAACTTGGTTGTGTTGCTGCCATCGTATAGCATAGCTACTAGTAACGAGGGCAATACTACTAGGAGCAAGAAGCTACTAGTAGCTCCTGGCATTACTACTAGTAACAAGGAAGTCATTTGGAGGATGAGAGCAATGAGGATAAATGGTTTGAACCTTTGTGGTCTACAAATTGCCAAACAGCGATGTTGTTGAGCCCCAGATGTTTCATGTTGTTTCATTTGTGTTGTTCTCGGTCTCATTTCAGTAATTACATACTTGTCATGAAATAAGCACAACGTGTTTCTGCTTGCTCGTCCAAACCGGAGGGTAAGGCGATCAGGCGTCTAATGCCTTAGCCCTATGAAATTACTATGTGTCGAACGATTTGGAACCTGCAACATGCCAAAAGTCATGTGTCAAGGATGGAGTTTGCAACCAATCTGGGAGCACTACCCGCCACATTGCAATCTTGCGATGTGCAAGTTTCCTCGTATCAGGCACAGAACATAAGTCTCATAAATGCTCGTTTCACTGACTCACGTGCAGTACACTGTAGGAGCTTGGACCTGCACTCCATGGCCTCCAGTGCCTCTAGTTGGACAGCACCGACCTGAGGACAATAAAAAAAAGATGAAAAGTAAGGGTACCTTTACTGAGGTCCCTTGAAATGGGGGCCTTCTTGAAGGGCCTAGGGGCCCAAACCTTTTTGTTAAACGTGTTTTCGATGTTCAACTGACTGAATTCCAAGGCCGAGCCACCGGTGCCAACGAGATCCATGTCCAGATGCACAGAGAGGGTTTGTTTGTCATATTGCGACCATGCATGGAAGTGAATGCAGGCATTGTTCTTTTGCAATTATGCTTTTAATGCGAAACCAATGTCTATGCAGCTTTGCAAGCGCCCTCTTCGGAAGTCTTTGAACACTTCAGGTGGATGGTTATTAGCCACTTGTATATCCTAGTCTTTTTGGTTCTTGACCAACGTGTGGTACCTCATTGCTGAGGTAGCAAACCAATTGAGAGAGAGGGAGAGGTGTGTTTTAAATACAAGCGGTCCTGATGTGGTGATTGGGGTTACAAGAGCATCCAACACCATAATCCCTGTTTTGCCTCCTTCATGACAGTTGAAACACTCAACTGTGATGTACTGCCAATATGTGTCAATACTGATCCAGATCCTATTGACTTGATGTATGATGTGAAAACAAACCCGTGTACTACGGCCCGTGTACTGTATACAGTATACATTTGCTTGCTCTAGTCTATACCCCTTTGTATGGTGCATTGCACAGTGCCCATGACTTGAGAACCATTTCTCTAACCCGCAGCTAGCAAGGCGGCTTTGGTTTTCAGAAAGCTATCTCTTGGTTGGCATTTTGTGGACTTTCCTGGGATGTTGATGAGGCCACGCGGGCGCTTGATGGGCATGCCAAAAGGAAACGAGGCGGCAACTGTTCTTCATTTGTAGACGGTTCAACCAGCTCGGGGCACTTGTGGCAGCATTTGCAAGAACTGCTTGTGGCCCCCAGAGCAACGAGAGCCATGAGAGCCAGATGAAGCTGGTTCCGGCTCTCTCGGCTAATTGCACTTAAGGTCGTGAGTATTTATGAGCATCAAGACTCGAATCAAGACCATGGACCTGCAATCATACTATGTCCTACTACAAATATATATATATATACACATACATATATATGCATTTCACGCCGCCATTGGAGGAGCTATTTGAGGTTGCTCACGAAGGTGTACAGCGCTTATCAGAGCATGTCGCCCGGATTCTCAGAGAACGGAACTTGTTGAGAATTTCAAGGACAAACCAAAGCAACCACTTTGTTTAGTAAGAGCTCAATTCGTGTGGATACCGCACGGTTTGCGCGGAGGGATGCTTTCAGCTTCAATAGTTTGTTTATATATTGGATAGAGACAGTTCATATCTTAGCCGTCGACGATCATTAACGTTGCATGTTTTGCTGGGTCTCACACCGCAAGCAGCCTTTGTGGATGTTCATATCAGTCCCATGTATTTGAATGAGACTTTTGCCCAGGCCGATTCCGAGCAAAAGGCTTTGCAAATGGCCAAAGAGGTGATTGATGAGCTGGGAGCACAGCATTGCAGGTTTTCTCGCGAGTACTGTATACAGTATATTGAAACAACAGGACCGTAGCCGTAGCCTCTTCTTTTTTCACCTGGTCAAAAAAGCAAGATACTCAAACTCTTCTTGTAGATTAACCAATCCTAGAAGTATTCTGTAATTCATCAGGCTTGGGCCGTTTGGAACAGGTGAAGGCCTTTGTAGTCTGTACCAGGATCGCGATGATTCACATATATATATATATATACTCCTGCAATAGCTTGTTGCTGCAAATCAACACTAACACATGTATTGTATAGGCTCCATTATGTTCGGCTGCTCCTTCACCAGATCCCGATTTCAACCACCTCAGGATGCGAAGACCGCAGGCTGGGCCTGTTGGGTGTAGAATGTTCATTCTAGTAACAAGAGAACGCTACTAGTAACAAAGGGCATCGCTACTAGGAGCAAGGACGCTACTAGTAGCTCTTGGCCTTACTACTAGTAACAAGAAGCTATATACTCTATGTTGTTTCTTTACATGTCAGCAAGGGATGCGGTATGATGTACCTATGTACCAAACAGGCCATACAGGTATCAAGCATGCAACATTATAAAATATGTATATATATACTGTATGTGTGTGTCCTATTTTGAACTTTGGCTCAAACACTTCAACTTGTGTAATTACCGTAGTTTCCAAGTCCA